TAAAATGCAGATCTAAACCCAAAACCCACTCCCCAAAATCAATTTTTATTTCTTTTGGTGTATATGATTCCCATTTGCTGCCGTGGCAGATCCATTACCACCCACAGCAGAATTAGTTGCACTTGAAGGCACATGCGACTGGGCAATGGCTGCAGTGGATGTTGCAGCACCCCCACCAGGCAGAGGAGCAGCTTGGTGCTGGTTCAAAGGAATGATGTATGTCTATCCGGGCTACAAACAAAGAAACAAACCAAGACATCCTCAAGTTTAATCCACATTTTTAAACAAGGGTGGTAGTAATGAACAAATGAAAAACACCATAATAATCCGAAATATAACAGTTGAAAGGTACAACAATACTAGTAGACTATTGGGTGGAACAGGGGGTGGTAATGGTTGCTGCACAAGAATCTGCTGTTTTCACTGGACGGGATCTGGAATGCTGGATGCTTGAGAGCATTTGTCTTTGCTTCCAAGACCAGGGAAGGTGGAAAGTCCATGACCCTTATCCAGCCCGTAGTTCCACCCCTCCCAACAATGTGTCCATTAAACTCAGTCGCACACACTGTCACTCAAGAAACGTAGTAGAAAATTTATTTTTTAGTAGATGAGTTCCACCACGTTAAAATTTAAACACAACACAATAACAAAAAATATTACTGCACATATATACTTGGATGGAGAGTCAATTTCACAATATTCACCTTGGTGAGAGATTTTCCTATTTATTAACCTCTTTCATGTCCTATTTGGTGCCAGGGTTCATGCCGAGTCTTGTTTATTGGCTGGAGCTTGGCGATGCTTTCAACAAAATGGAAATTTCAACGCCTCCACCGATGAACAAAATGGAAATTTCACCATGTACCGGTATTGGTTTTTCCTCTTTTTGTCGGATAGCCCAAAAAATATTGGCTTAATATGAACTGCTGCACTCTAATCAAAACCACACTATTACAAATAGGTGCTTAAGGCCACGTGACATTAAAATTCCACTAAACCGGCTATATTTACCATGTCATATGCCACATACAATGGTTGGTCTTCATTCTTAAAGCCTGTTAATGTCATATTCATTGCTTTTGTACTTATTCACAATTTTTAAACATGGGAATAGCTTAATGCACCCCTGCAATTGGTTGTTGGGTTAGGTTCTGAGTAGGGATTTTGTTTCTTACTTTGAGGCTTGGACCTGATTTTGGGTTAGGTTCTAGGTTGACTTTTAACTTTAGTGTTTGACAATCAAATTTGCGTTAGGTTTGCGGGTACAATCCGTTGGATTTTAATTTTTAGGTTAGACTCTAGGTCGTGTTTTGAGTTAAGGCAATTGCGTTTTACTGTCTTGTTTTTTGTTGTGGTTCTAAATACTATCAAAATGTTGTGGTTCTAAATACTATCAACCTCAGATTTCCAGATTCTAGGCGTTGCGTATCAGATGTGCAGATTTCCCGGTATGATTGAAACATCTTCTCTGATTC